TACTGATTCCCGCTCCGACTCAGTGGCAGCTCTCCCGCGAGGTCCAGGGACCAACGGAACCCTAGTCCGCAGATTGGCAGTGAGTGCAGCTCTGCTTTGGCCTGCGTCAGGTTTGCTTTGCTCCTCTGACACGCCTCGCACCCCTCCACCCACTCTTTTACTTGCCTGCGCATCCCTTCCCACCACCAGCCCGTCTTCAGCAGGTGTACGGTCCTCTCGTGCCCGAAGTGCCCCAGCTTAGTGTGCACTTCCTTGATCACTGCTTCACGGTCCTCGGGCGCTGGCACCAGCTTCCACCCATCCTCCGTCTTGATCTGCAGCTGCTGCTGATACCACCTGTAGTGGTGCCCTCGTGCCCTTACTCTCTCAACCACCGTTTCATCCTCCTCGGTTTCTCCCTTCACCCATTGCATTGCCTTTGCATCCAACCAGATGTCGGCTGGCCCCTTACTCCCCTTTGCCCCCGTCTGCTCCACCTCTCTTGCCAGTAAGATCAAGGTCCGTGCCGGCTCTTGCTCTGTCTCTTCCGTCCCCAGGGTGGCCTGTTTCGTTTCCAGCGGCGGTGGATTGCGGGAGAGGCCGTCAACGTGCTGCAGCATCTTCCCCGGCCTGTGCCTGATCTTGAAATCATACTCCTGCAGCTTCACTGCCCACCGCGCGTTCCTGCCTGTCAGCCCTGGTGTAGTCATCAGCCAGGTGAGTGGCTGATGGTCAGTGACTAGGGTGAATTCTCGGCCCTGCAGGTATATCCGGAAATGCCCGACCGCCCACACTGCCGCCAGCCCTTCCCCAATGTATGAGCTATATTGTGCTTCCGCCGGGTTGCAGCTCCTGCTGGCGTAGGCCACCACCTTCTCCACTCCCTCCACCTCCTGGCATAATATTGCTCCCATCCCTTGGCTGCTCCAGTCTGTGTAGAGGATGAAGGGCTGGTCTGCTGCTGGCAGCCGCAGCACTGTCGCTGTCTTCACGGCTGTCATGAGGTCTTGCAGTGCCTGTCTCTGCTCCTCTCCCCACTCCCATGCCTTGTCCTCCCGCAGCCTCCCATTTAGTACTGTCGCTCGTTTGCTGAAGTTCGGCACGAAGCGCCTGTAGTAGCTGAGGAAGCCCAAGACCGCACGCAGCCCTGACTTGTCTCTTGGTTCCCTCAGCCTGTCCAGCACTTGCACCTTCGCTTGCTGGATACCAATCTGCCCCCCTGTGACCTCATACCCAAGATACTGCACTGTCCGCTCCCCCCACCTGCACTTGTTGGGATGGCAGGTGAGCCCTGCCCCTTCTATGGCGGTCAATGTCCTCTCCACGTCCTCCAGGTGCTGCTGTTCGGTCAAGCTGAAGATCACGACATCATCAATATAGCACGCCGCGTGTTCTATTCCCCGCAGCACCGCGTCCATGACTCTCTGAAACACCGCCGAGGCGTTCCTCAGACCGAAGGGCATGTAAAGCCACTCGTACAGCCCATCCGGTCCGTGGAAAGCCGTTTTCTTCACATCCTCCTCTCTGATCTTGATTTGATTGAACCCCTGTCGCAGGTCCAGCGTCGTGAAGAACACTCCGTCAGCCAGCTTGTCAAAGAGCTCTTCCGCCATCGGCATTGGGTATCTATCTGGCACTGTAATTTTGTTGAGATCCCTGTAGTCCCCGCACATCCTCCTACTCAGCACCTCGCCTGTCAAGTCCTTCCTGGCTGCCACCACGGTTGGGGTAGCGTATTCTGATTCTGACCTCCTGATCAGTCCGGCTTCCAGTAACTCCTTTATCTTCTCCCTGCAGATCACTTCATCCCCTGGTGGCATCTTCCTCCTGCGGTGGAACACCGGCTCATCACTACTCAATTTCAGCGCCATCTCTTTGATCTTGCACTTCCCCAACTCTAGCAGTGTGAAGGCGAAGCCCTTCCGATGCCTAGCCAGCAGTGCCCGCATCGCTGCCTTCCCTTCTTCGCTCATGCTCTCACCTATCTTCCACTCTGGCTCCTCTTTCTGCAGGCAGGCCCACACCCCTTGCCTCACCGTCGACACTGTGTTTTCTCCCTCCTTCAATCCCCAGTGCAGCACTGTCTCCTTCCACATCCGCTGCACCAACCACCTCATCATGTACCCATCCATGGCATTCCCCAATGCCCGTCTCCGTTCCTTCTCGCTCACGCCTGGGGCTGCTGTAGCGTTCTCCTTGTATCCCATGGCCAGCTCCCTCTCCAAGGCCGTGGGCTCTTCCCACTGTCCCTTCCTGTGGTCATGCACCAATCCTGGGCCTGGCTGCTTCCCATCCATCTGATAGCCTGCTGCCCCCTCATATGACACCAGGGTAGGCAGTGCCTGCCTTTCCTGTCCCACCTGGTTGCAGGGATAATGCCTGCTGTAGCCCTTCTTGGTCACTGGTGCTGGCGTTCTTCCTGGCTCCAATATGTCGCTCAGCTTCCGTCCCCCAGCTCTCTGCACCCCTTCTATTTCCTTCTGCAGGTCTTCTACTGGTACCACATTCTGCCAGTACATCCTGAGCCTGTGCGCATATGCTCCCATCCGCGCCGCATCACTGCTCACTCCTTTCCCCACCTGTCTGGTCACTCTCTCCCTTACTAGTCTTATCGGTTCTCTCACGTCTCCCTCCATATCCAAGTGCTCCAGCAGGTAAGCCACTCTGCCTTGCCTCGCCTGCACCCACTCCATGACTCTGAACAGATCCTCCATCAGTTGTGTTCGTAGGTCTTGCTCACCCTTGCCCTTCCCTGCCCATGATACCCCTTGGCATTCCCACCCTGCCACCAACAGGTCCACGTGCCCCCAGCTTGCTACCTCAGCTTCCGTAATGGCCCTTACATCGTTCACTCCTCTGCTAATTGCTGCCTTGATCACCTCTCCCTGCAGCAGCTCCGGGAACTCTCTGTGCAACTCCCACGCCTGATGCTCCGCTATTTTCCTCACTTCTGGTGCTTTCTCTTTGTAAATCCACTGCTTTACTGCAATTCCATTTCGCACCACTGCTGCCAGTCCCGCCCCGATTCCTCCGAACAGCTCCACCAGCCGAATGGGTTGCTGCCAATCGGTCTGCTGGCTAGGTTCGTCCATGAAACGCATCCTGGGCTCCCCACCTTGTCCCTTGCCTGTTGCGGCCTTCTGTGCCCCCTGCTTCGCTGTCACCTCCTTCAGATCTGCCCTGTAGGCCCTTTTTGGCTCGGTCCTGACAAACTGCACCGGCAGCTGCCCCAGTGGCTCACCCTTCCTCCACCACCTGGTTCTGAACTCCACTGTCTCCTTCCAGAAGCAGATGGTCATGCCCAATGCAAAGATCATCTCTGTGCCCACCAGGACGTCAAAATCTTCTGACTCTGAGATCCCGCACCTGATTCTAACCGGCGTCTCATGCTTCTCCCCCTTCAGCACCGTCAGTTCTATTGGAGTCCTCGTACAAGGCATCCACTTCGACTCTCCCCCCTTTGTTGTCATCACTAGCATCCCCTTCACCACATGCCTGTCAGGTGCCCACAGTCCCAGCTTCTCGGCCATCCCCTTTCCGAGTATCACGCTCTGCGCTCCAGTGTCTATAATAGCCGTCTTAGCCTTCTCCCCTTCCACTGACAGCGCACCACCTTGGATCAGCAGCACGGAAGTCTGGCAAGCCAACCTCTCCTGGGGGTGCCGTGCTGCTGTGCATCTCTCCTCCTTTTCCTCCGGCTTCTGTCCTCTCTCCCGCTCCTTTCTCAGCTGCTCCTTCCGTGCATCCTTTCCTCCGCTGCGCAACCCCATCTCCTCCCTTCCTCGCCATGCCATGTATGCTGGTTGCTCCTCATGCTCCATCTCATTCTCTCCTCTTCCCGCCCAGACCATGAACGCGGCTTCCTCATCCTGCTCCACATCTTCTTCCTCCTCTTCCTTGGCGTACATCCCCGCCTCTGCTTCCCGTCGTGGTCCCATTGCCTGCAGCTGGGCCTGCAGCCTGCTGATTTGCTTCTCCAGATCTTCTGGTGACTTCTTCGCTGCTCCCTCTTGCTGATAACACTCCTTTGCTGCATGCCCTCCTTTCCCACAGACTTCACACTTCGGTGCCGTTGGACATTCCCGCCGCCGATGCCCTGGCTTGCCACAGGAGTCACAGTTCTTGCAGTCTCGGCGCAAGTGTCCTGGCTGCCCACATCTGTGGCATGTTCGTGTGTCAGGCCTGGTCTCCCCTCTTCCCGCTGCCCTGTCCTTCTCCTCCGGTATCATGGCCGCAGCCCATGTAGGCCCCCTGCCTCGCTCCGCCTGTCTGGGCCTGTATGCTTCATATTTCCTCTGCGCCAGCTCCATCTTCTCTGCCAGTTCAAACACCTCTTCAAGCGTTGTGTCGGCCCCCATCTCATACACCTTCATCCGCAGTCCGCTTCCCAAAGTGCCCTCCAGCCCATCCAGGAATTTACTCACGAGCAGGGCCATGTCTGCGCAAGTCACATCCTCTGCCAGGTTGACCAACCGGTTATAGTAGGTGAGTAGTGACTCGCCCCGCCCCTTCCTGAAATCTTGGAATTCCCTGATCTTCTCTGCAGTGTGACCTGGAAACTGCCGTTTCAGCCGCCTCAGGAATGCTTCAGTAGGGTCTTCCCCGTACCTTCCTGCCCTTTCCAGTAGCTCATCCATCTTCATCCTGTACAATGTCTCCGCCTCCCCTTCCAATGTGTTTGGCAGACTCAGGAAAAAGTCCACCGAGTCCATGCCGCTCCTTTCGCATCTGTACCGCACGTTGCCCACCTGCATCAGGTAATTCTTCAGCGTGGGGCCCGTGCGCTGATCTCCTGAGAAGCGTGCTGGCACTTCCACTCTCGTGGCCATTACCGTGCTTCCCTTGCCTTCTCCCCACGCCTCGCTCGGCCCTCCTGCTGATCTCCCTGATGCTCCTCTCTCTCTCGCCCGCAGTATTCCTTCCCTCGCCTCTCTAGCCCATTCTAGGCTGTGCATCAGCCCGCTGCCTTCCTCTCTGCTGTTGCGTTGATCCCGTCCTCCCTCACTGGTACGTCTTCCGTCATGCTGCCAGTACCGATCAGGTGAGTGATACCCTCCGCCGCGCCCCTCATCCCTGCTCTGTTGCCGAAGCTGCGAGCCGTATCCGCCTCCCCGGCTTTCTCCATGTTGCCTGTGCCAGTCGGGCGAGCGCGTCTCGCTTCCCCACCTCTCTCCATGATACCGTTGCAGATCAGGCGAGCGGTAGTCGCCTCCGCGTCTCTCATCACGAGGGTAACGAGGACCTGGAGAGCGCAGCTCCCCCCCGCTTCTCCAGTTGTGATACCTCCGCGGATCTGGTGAGCGCACACTTCCCCCGCGTCCACTGTCCTGGTGCCGCCGTTGCTTTGGCGAGCGGTAGCCGCCTCTGCGCCTTTCTTCCTGCAGCTGCTGCCGTCCTGGCGAGCGGTAGCCGCTTCCGTGCCTCCCGTCCTCGTGCGGGAGACGTGGATCTGGCGAGCGCGCGCCGCCACCGCGTTCCCCGTCACGATTCTGCCGCCGATCTGGCAAGCGCGTACCGCCGCCACGCCCCCCCTCCCGATACATCCGTGGATCTGGCGAGCGCGTGCCTCCGACGCGTCCCCCATCACGATTCAGCCGAGGCTCTGGCGAGCGCGCACCGCCGCCGCGTCCTCCGTCCCGATTCAGGCGCGGATCAGGCGAACGCGCGCCGCCGCCACGTCCCTCGTCACGCTGCTGACGCGGATCTGGAGAGCGCGCGCCACTGCCACGCCCCCCGCCGTCACCTTTCTCTCCGTCGCGCGACAGGTCTCGAGTACCGCCCTTTCCTTCTGCCTCTGCCGTGCTCGGCTCCGCCGCCACGCCCGCCTGCGCGGGATCGTCGTCATCAACTCCAGCGGGCATCTCGCGCTGCTCGCCTGCGCCTTCCTCCTGGGGTTCGTCATCGCCCTTGGTCTCGCCTTCACGATTCGTCTCCCGCACTCGATTCGCCGAGTCGGCCTCGTCTTCTCCATCCACATCAAGATCGCCTTGGCGACCCGAGAAGAGCTCCTCCAGACCTCGCCCGCGACTTCTCTCTTCGCGACGGCAATAGCCTTCCTCCGGCGAGCGGTATGCTCCCGTGTCCTGGCGGTACCCACGACCGCCATCCGCTCCGTGACGCCCGTCCGTCCGCCACGGGTCACTCCCCGTCGTGACGGATCCAGATCCGCCTCTTCCTTCTCGGGCGGATCCTCCCTCCTGGCGATCTGGCGCGAGAGGGACCTGATCCGCGCGAAAGGCCGGCCTCCGCGGCGATCGCTCAGGCCGCCGCGGCGACCTCTCCAGCGAGCGCCCGCGCTCACGTGAGCGTTCGCGCCGCGAGCGATCCGCCTCACGGCGACCATAATTCCTGCCGTGATGCATCTCGTACACATCCATGCTTGTACGCGCACCTTTCTGTTTGTTATGAAAGTGACAGAATTCTCACCTCAAAGGTCCTCCCTGAGTGGTGTGCCACCTGCCTGCTCTGGTAAGGTAACAACAGTCCACTATACGAAAGGATAACAAACAGAAAGCATCAGAGGTGTGTGTGAGAGTGAACTTACCTGACCCTGGCTCGAACCGTGCATTTCTCAATGTGCGGCTCGAGCCTGGGTTGGTTCGTTCTCATTGGTTGCAAGGATTTCACCCAAGGTGCTCTCCTACCAACTTCGCGTCAATTTCCCAGCTCCCACCTACCTATCCTCGAATTTGCAAACACAACATAGCTACACCTCCACTACACCACCATGATACTGGCACCTTATATGCACAACCGTGCATATTCGGTGACACTGAGTCTGTGTCTGCGTCTGTCTGTCCTCCGTCCGTCGGGGGTGAGTGTGCTCTTGGCACGGACGTCCTTGAGGACAGACAGGAGGACCTTGAGTGTTTTGCTGCTGCTTCACCTCATCTCGTGTCCATGCTGCTTGCCCCTGAGGGAGACCCGGATGCACTAGACATCCCGACCCCGCGCTCTTACGCAGAGGCGATAGAGGGTCCCTACTCCTCTCAGTGGCAGGCAGCCATGGACGCAGAGATGGCTTCCTGGAAGTCCACAGGCACCTACGTAGACGAGGTTCCCCCACCTGGGGCGAACATCGTCAGTGGCATGTGGATCTTCAGGGTGAAGCGGCCGCCGGGTTCTCCGCCTGCCTTCAAGGCGCGTTACGTTGCACGTGGCTTCAGTCAGCGACAGGGAGTTGACTTCTTTCAGACCTTCTCCCCTACCCCGAAGATGACCACTCTTCGGGTACTGCTGCACGTTGCTGCTCAGCGTGACTACGAGCTCCACTCGCTTGACTTCAGCACAGCCTTCCTACAGGGCAGCCTGCACGAGGAGATCTGGCTGCGCCGCCCACCTGGCTTCACTGGGTCGTTTCCTGCTGGTACCCAGTGGAGCCTCCGGCGGCCAGTCTACGGTCTCCGCCAGGCGCCCCGTGAGTGGCACGACACGCTCAGGACGACTCTTGCTGCTCTTGGTTTTGCTCCTTCCACTGCTGACCCTTCTCTGTTTCTACGCACTGACGCTACTCTGCCGCCGTTCTACGTTCTTGTGTACGTAGACGACCTTGTCTTTGCTACTGCTGACACGGAGGCACTCGCCCACGTGAAGTCCGAGCTGCAGAAGAGACACACGTGCACAGACCTGGGTGAGCTCACAAGCTATCTTGGCTTGCGGATCACCCGGGACAGAGCACAGCGCACCATTACCTTGACTCAGTCACACATGGTGCAGCACGTCCTTCAGCGCTTCGGCTTCACCTATTCCTCGCCACAGTCCACTCCTCTGCCTACCGGTCACTCGCTCTCAGCTCCACCTTCGGACGAGTCCGTAGAGCCGAGTGGCCCGTATCCAGAGCTTGTGGGCTGCCTCATGTACCTGATGACTTGCACACGACCTGACCTCGCATACCCTCTCAGCCTTCTGGCTCGCTACGTGGCTCCCGGCAGGCACCGAAAGGTGCACTGGGATGCTGCGAAGAGGGTGTTGCGATACTTGTGCAGTACATCGGGCATGGGGATCGTGCTTGGAGGACGGGCTCGAGTTGTCCTCACTGGTCACACTGACGCCTCCTGGGTTGACGACTTGGCTACGCAGCGGTCGTCACAGGGTTACACCTTCAGCCTTGGCTCCGGTTCTGTCTCCTGGCGGTCTACCCGCTCTTCTTCTGTTCTCAGCTCCAGTTGTGAGGCTGAGATCTACGCTGGGGCCATGGCTGCACAGGAGCTTCGCTGGCTCACCTACCTGCTGACTGACTTGGGAGAGGCGCCTCGTTCTCCTCCAGTTCTGTACGTTGACAACAAGGCCATGCTGGCCTTGTGTCAGGAGCACAGACTGGAGCACAGAACGAAGCACATTGCTCTGCGCTACTTCCTTGCTCGAGAGTTGCAGCAGCGTGGCCAGCTTCGTCTTGCTTACGTGGCCTCTCAGGCCAACACTGCTGATGTTTTCACCAAGGCACTTCAGCCTTGTGATCATCAGCGTTTCTGTACTGTGTTAGGCCTTGTACCTACTGTGCCTCACTTGTTGACTTCTTGACTCTGCTTGTACTGTACTCTATATACTTATACCTGCATGCTTACACTTGCTAGGTTGTGTTCACTGTACTGTTTGCTTTCCTTTATATAACTCTGCATGTGAACTAGCCTTATGGCCCTTTGCTTGTGCTCAGACTGTGTGGTGACTTTGTGATCCACCCAGAGCTTGCTTTGTTTTTCTTGACTGGTCTTGTGACCTCTTGTTCTCCCCCACTTTGCCTATGGGGGTGTGTCAAACTTATATCTGCTATGGTCTATTTAGGCTGTAGTGGGGTAGCTCTTAGAGGGTACAACACTTATGTGTTTCCTATATGTACCCATCTCATTTCTAGTTCATTCATTCTTTCGTCTATCATTCTCACACTGCTACCTCACACGCGCCCCCGCCCAGGCATCAACCGCAGCAAGACACTGCTCGTACTGGACTCGTACCGTGGACATCTGACGGACAGCGTACGGGGGACGCTACGCCGGCATCGCATCACGCCAGCAATCATCCCTGGCGGCTACACACCTCTTCTGCAGCCGCTGGACATGAGCATTAATCGCTCATTCAAGGCTGGTGTCCGGCAGATGTACAGCGACTGGTTTGCCGATCATGGCATCAACACCCTCACCCCCGCCGGTAAGCCCATAACTCCTTGTTTGGCCCCCTCTACCGGCAACTACCTTTCCGCATTCTAACGCGCAAGTGCATGTTCACCGCTGCAGACAACCTCAGGAAGCCGCCAGTGGAGTTGGTCCTCCAGTGGATCGCCACGGCCTAGACCGCTGCCCCTGAGGACCTCATTGTCCGGTCGTTCAAGACCTGCGGCATCACCAACACCCCCGATGAACGCGAGGATCACTTGATCCTCGCGCACATGCGCGATGGAGCTCAAGTGGAGGTGCACGACGACGTGCACGCGGCGGCGGAAATTGAGGAGTGGGTTAACCCCATGTACGCAACAGCTGCGGAGGAGGAGGAGGAGGAGGAGGAGGAGGAGGAGGAGGAGGAGGAGGAGGAGGAGGAGGAGGAGGAGGAGGAGGAGGAGGAGGTGGACGAGGAGGCACCTGTGGAGGAGGAGGAAGCTATGGAGGAGGAGGACGGCGAGGACAGTGAGGAGGAGTAGACAGGTGCAGCAGTAGGTAGTCTAGTGGTTGTAGGCGCCTGCGGGCGGTAATTTGTTGGTATTGTAGGTTCTAATAATTTGACCCTATGTAGTAGAGTACAAATTAAGTGTAGGCTGTAATTGTGGCTAAAAATAATGCAAGAATGTAAAAAAAAAAAAACCAGAAATTGGGGAAGAAGGGGGGTCTTCTAATGAATTGGGTCAAAAGGCAGGTCCTCTCCAAGACTGACTTAATAAAAGACCCCTGGTCTGGATAGAAGACCCACGGGGCTTTTCTGCGGGAGGGTCTTGTAACCGGGAGATCACGGTACGTCGATGTGTCAGAGAACCATTAGATGCGTCAGAGTGGACCTTTTGACGCGTCAGAGAACATTTTGACGCGTCAGAGTTAACAATTTGACGCGTCAGAGTTGACAATTTGACGTGTCAGAGTTGACATTTTGACGCGTCAGATAACATTTTGGCGCGTTAGTGAATGCACCCCTCCGCAAATTTACACGTGGCCTTGTGGGGGATATTGTTGGCCTCTGACGAAATAATCCGCATTGTCTGTGAATTCAGACAAACTGTACAAGCTCGTCTGAAAAATCAGACGGATAAATTTAGCACATCTAGTGATTCAGATGAAAAATAATTCACTGTCTGCAAATTCAGATGAATACAAAAAAACGAGCCTGATTTTCAGACCATCAGACGAATTTCGTCTGATATCGACGTCCCTGACACACACCCCCCCCGCCCCTTTCCCCCCTCTCCCTCATCCCCCCCCCCCACCCCCACACCCCTTCCCCTTCTGCATACGCGTCAGGGCAGCCCTCTACCTTCGTCCTGATGCTTCAGGGCAAAATCTCACGGCCTTCCTGAAATTTCAGGGCTCAACACAAAAAATATCCTGAAGTGACAGGGTAAAATATACCATCATCCTGAAATTGCAGGGAAAACACCTGACACTATCCTGAAATCAGGGTAATCAGGATGTTTTACCCTGATATCGTGGGGCCTGATCGGAGCTATTGAGTAAAAAAAATCATAGAAGCACCGTCAATCCTCACCGTTCGCAGCTCTAATCCTCCTTGACTTTCCTTTGAGCCGGCGCCTTGTGCATCTCCCTTCCAATCTTCTTGAGCACCTCGTCTATCAAGATCACCGGGAGCGACGTCACGAGCACGAGCAGCCACTCGTTGAAGCTCAGCGGCACGATCCCAAACACGTTAGCGAGGAACGGCACATAGAGGATGAGAAAGTGCAGCGAGAAGGAGAGAGTCATCGCCACCAGCAGCCACGGATTCACCCACGGAGGCATACGCGTCAAACTAACATCCTCCGAAAGCGCATTGAGCGAGTTAAACATCTCAATCGCCACCAGCACTGACAGCGACAGCGTCGTCGCCTTCACCTTCCCCGACTCAAAATAGTCACACGGGTCATGATTAAAAGAGAAGGTCTGTGCGCCTGCGGTGAAGGGCGAGGCGGAGAAGTCTTGCCAGGAGCGGCACTGGTCCCAGTGGCGCAGCTGGTGTAAGGAGACGAGGGAGTGGCCGTCCTGGGAGAGGTCGATGCCAAGGAAGGAGGAGTGCGTGTACCAGATGGCGAACACTCCTACCGTTGCGATGCCCACGTACATGCCTATGATCTGCAGGTGAAGGGGGGACAAGGGGGGGGGATGGAGTGGGGAGTGGGAGAGAGTTTAAGAAGTCGATGCCGAGGAAGGAGGAGTGGGTATCCAGATGGCGAATACGCCCACTGTTGCTATGCCCGCGTACATGCCTATGATCTGCAGGTGAAGAGGGGGATGACGGGTACGTGCAGGAGGGAGTGGGAGAGAGGATTGAGACAGTAAAGAAGTCGAGGAAGAAGAAGTGTTCTCGTCATTGCTCGTATCTGGTACCAGATGGCAAACCAGCCCGACATTGCCATGCCCATGTACATGCCTATGATCTGCAGGGCAGAGAGTGAAGACGGGAGCACGGAGGAGGGATTGGGGAGAGGACAATTTGGCATGCACTTGCTACTTGTTTGCAACTTCCTTACAACAATATGCATGCACAAACCCACTACTGAACCCATCCACTCACCACATACATACCACAGGAGCACAACCCCATCACCATCCCCCCCTCCTCCCGTCCACTCACCACGTATCGCAGCAGCACCCAGGCAGTAACCAGAGCATCGTCACTCCTCCTGGGCTGCTGCCGCATCACGTTCTCATCGGGAGGGTTGAAGCCCAGCGCTGTGGCAGGCGGGCCGTCCGTGACGAGGTTGACCCACAGCAGCTGCACCGGGATCAGGTTCTCGGGTAAACCGAGGGCGGCCGTGAGGAAGATGGATGCCACCTCGCCCATGTTGCTCGATATCATGTAGCTGTGAGGAAGTGAAACGGGAGGGAGGAGAGGGGAGAGGGGGAGAAGACGAGCTGGGTTTACAGTGCATGAGATTGTGGGTGACCAGATTGACCCACAGCAGCTGCACGAGAATCAGGGCTCTCAAGCATGGGTGGAAAATGCTATGGTGCCTGGTGGGAACATGAGCACCGCCTCACCCAGCCCAAGCAGTGATTCACAGGCATGAATGGACTTACCGGATGAAGGCCTTCATGTTGTTGTAGATGGATCGCCCCTCCGCCACTGCAGCCACAATGGTGCTGAAATTGTCATCCGCCAGCACCATGTCCGACGCCTCCTTCGCTACCTGCAGGGGAATGGGAAGTGGGCGTAGGAAGAGGGTAGGTAAGTCGGACCATCAGCGTGTGACTGCAGCCACGATGGTGCTCAAGTTGTCATCCGCTCCGCCAGCACCATGTCCGACGCCTCCTTTGCCACCTGCAGGTGAATGGGAGGAGGGGGTCGGAAGAGGGTAGGTAGGACGAGAGGATTCAACAAAGGAGGTTCAAGTGAGTGGTGCCACGATGGTGCTCAAGTTGTCGTCTACCTACACCATGTCCGATGCCTCCTTCGCCACCTGGCACAATGGGAAGGTGGAGAGGGTAGGGTAAGTAGGACAAGTGATGAATTCAAAGCAAGGACAGCAGCGGAGGGCGTAATCATCTGCCAGGGCCACGCCTTATGCCTCCTTATCTAACTGAGACTACATTACTACCGCAGGGGATCGAACACAGAGAACAGCATGCATTATTGCAGGTTGAACAAGAAGGCGAAACAAGAACTGAAAGTACAAGGGGATCTGGAATGGACAACGTACTAGCCCCAATGTTACCCACCTCGGTGCCGGCAATGCCCATGGCGATGCCAATATCTGCCAGCTTGAGAGCCGGGGCGTCGTTCACGCCATCGCCAGTCATGGCCACCACCTCGCCCTGCTCCTTGAGCATGCGCACTATCTCCTGCTTGTGCCTCGGCTCTGCGCGGGAGAACACCTTGGCTCCTGGCACCTGCAGGGAGCGATAAACACACACACGGGGGAAACAGGAGATTGGGTGCCTGTGTGAATACCACATGCGTTACTGACGCAGACGCCAGTCACAGCCACCACCTCGACCTGCTCCTTGAGCATGCGCACTATCTCCTGCTTGTGCCTCGGCTCCGCACGGGAAATCGCCTTGCCTCCTGGCACCTGCAGGGGACGAGAACACGCAAGGGATGGGTTGTGAACTGTGTGAGTACCAACCAGTACCAAGGGCATCACTACCTTGGACGCTAGTACTGGCCACCACCTGATAAAAGTTGGGTATTGAGACGTCTCAAAGCCGTGCTCCTTAACCATCTGTGCGAAGCCCTGCTTGTGCCTAAACCATTTCAGAAAGTGCCCCACCCATCGTACCTTGAGAATCTCCATTCTAGTCGCAGCAGGCAGGTCCATGAAATCCTTGTCAGTGAAGCTGCAACGGCTGACATCATTTTTTAGGCGCAGCATGAATCCACCCACCTCTGGAAATGCCTCACCAACCCATCAGTACCTTGAGAATCTCCATCCGGGTTGCAGCAGGCAGGTCCATGAAATCCTTGCCCGTGAAGCTGCAACGGCTGAGATCGTCCGATGGGCCCAGCACGCCGATCTCACGGCAGATGGCCTCTGCTGTGTTCTTGTTGTCGCCTGTTATCACCATCACTCTTATGCCCGCCGCCCGACAATCCTCCACTGCTGCCGGCACTTCTTCTCTAGGTGGGTCCTGGGGGATGGAAGAAGGGAGCAAGGAAATGTCCCTGTTAAATACTTCCCATCAAATTTTCTGTCCAGATACAAGTGATGGCATGCCAGCACAGCAACAGTCCGGTACACAGAGCCTCACTCCCACTCACCCTCATCCCTGCACTCACCCGTAGTCCCACCATCCCGCAAAACACCAGTCCCTGCTCGATCCGCTCGTAATTCCCCGGATCCAGCAGCATCTTGTGCCCCTCGTGCTGCTCCCCGCTGTACCCCTGCAGTGGCCCCATCGCCTGCCCCTCCTTGAACGCGAACGCCAGGCACCGGAGGGCCTTGGAAGCCATATCTGTCAGGATGGCCTCTGTGGCTCTGCGACCTTCGGAAGTGAGTGGCACTATGGAGCCGTCCGCTAGCTGGATGGATGTGCAGCGCTCCAACACTGACTCCACTGCTCCCTGTGGATAGGGAGGCATGGAGGGGAGGAGGGGGGCACACCAATGGACATGGATTTCAAGGCTCCGAGGTGAGCGGGACTATGGAGCCGTCCGCTAGCTGGATGGATGTGCAGCGCTCCAACATCCACTGCTCCCTGTGAGTGGATAGGCATGCATATGGGGGGTGGAGACAGGAGGGACAGGAGGAGGGGAATGTGGTGTTTAACACACGGCTTGAATGCGAACGCCAGGCACCGCAGGGCCTTGGACGCCATGTCAGTCAAGACGGCCTCTGTGGCTCTGCGGCCCTCCGAGGTGAGCGGGACTATGGAGCCGTCTGCTAGCTGGATGGATGTGCAGCGCTCCAACACTGATTCTACTGCTCCCTGCGGATACACAGGGGGGAAGGAGGGCAAGCGGGGGAGGGGCAGGGGGAGGGGCACGGAAGGACACGAGGGG